CCCCAAAACCCCAAAACCCCAAAACCCCAAAACCCCAAGTTATGAAAGTATATTAAAGCAAGTTATTAAACTCATCTCCGACTAGGTTTTATCTTCTTCAGATCCATTGCCTTTGGCTCTCGAGATGGGACTACTTGGGCTTTGGCTTCTCTGTTACAGAGAACTGTAAGCCCAATTTGGAATTCATGGAAACCAGTGGATTCCTCTTCCTCTTCATCATGGATTTCTACTGGCTGAAGGCTGCTCCTGAGTTGTCCACTCTTGTTTCTCATAATCTGCTCTCATTTTGAGTTTAGAATACCTCTTGAATTAAATTTATGCATCCGGTTGCTCTAGATATTATAAAACTGATAATACCCTTTTCTGATCACTATTTAGATTCTTCATAGTTACTCTGCTTGTTAGCCCAGAAGTTGAGGATAGAAGATGATTTGAAGATTGAGCGATCAGCCACACTGTCAGAGTTAGAACATACTTTCCAACAAGTGCTTTTACCTAAGGGTTTACCAATTTCATAGTTGACCCTCTTCTTTCTTAATGAATAATTCCTCTTCCTTGGAAAAACGCCAATGCCTTTGTTTTGAGATGATAAGAAGTTGTTCAAGTCCTATAGAAATTTTTTAGAAGAGTCCATACCTTGCTTGATTTACTTTTAAGTCGATTTCGCTTTTGAGAATCTAGAGGTAAGTTTAAATTTTAGTTGAGATATGAGTGAATTGAATACAAGAACTTACCATATGCCCAATTGTACTTATTGTCAAGAACAACTTCGTTCTCTCGGGCTAGCTCAGCAAAACACCATCTCATGTAATCATAGTCAGGTATATCAATGAACTGAAGTTTTCTGACATAATCTACTATTTTAACGAATCCTCTTGGGAAATTTCCGATAAGCTTCTCGCTACAGGACAGTCGCTTAAAGTTCATGATGTTAACAAAATTATCATTTTTCTCAACTTCGACAAATTGCCATGGAACTGTTCCATTATATAAGTGAATTAGAACGTAAATCAATGATTCTATATCGTCCTTTTTGAATCAGTGATTCGTCCCGATATGTGAATGGACTGAGGCGTAAATTGGAGTGCCTAATAGTAATCATCAAAGAATACCTGTAAGTCGTAAGTTCTGCTTATGATATGCCCTCGGAGGGATCTTTGGAATATGATCTTCCGAATCACTTTTAGTCAATCCAAAATCTATTAAATAAATCGTATTTATTTGGCTTTGATTATGGTCTTCTGGATTGTCTAATCCAACTACTAAATTTGCTGGTTTAAGGTCGCGATGGATTAGACCAACGCTATGCAAGACTTCAAGTCTGTCTATCAACTGTAATGCTATCTGTATAACATGCTTTAGGCATAATTGTCCCTCGTAAGCTTTGCTTTGAATCTTATTTCAAACTTTTACCCAGCATTTCCATTACATAGTAGTAAAAATGCTCAGTACTGCCTTGAAATATGAGCTTAGGGAATCCTTCAGGCCAGGTTTCAAGTTCCTGTAACTTTTTAAATACATTTAACTCTCTTATAAACTTATTTTTATGCTTCTCATCTTTGGGCATGAACTTTATAGCAACATTTGAGTTATCAGTGAGGTCCCTCGCTTGCATGATCTGTCCATGAGCTCCTTTGTCAACTTTTGTGATTATCCAGAACCTGTCTTCTAACTTCTTGCCCAACATACCAAGGAGGTGATCTTGAGTCTCCATTTATTATCCTTATTCAAAGTAGCTTCAGTATATCATATTAATTTTGGGGTTTTGGGGTTTTGGGGTTTTGGGG